GAATGGGTACATTGAGGGTGAATCCTAGAGGTTAGGATTGCGCACACAGGAATTGATGTAGACAAATCTTGGGTGAACCTCTAGCCCGCCTCTCTGTTCTGATCAAGAATTGAACCGGTTATATAGCATTTGGACGCCTATGCAACTTCACGTGGTAACGCCTTCTTCCGGTCGCCAGTGTAAGTTCTTGTAACCACGCTTCTACCGGCATACGTCCACGCAAGTAGGCTTTGCCTTCTGCTCAGGACACCTGTACGACCCGCTTATTTTAGCCACCCGATGTATTACCTGTTTATGCTCTCACCAATTCGGATTTCCGCTCACACACTGATGCAGCGGAAGTAAGACCAAATACAACATATTTAGATTTTTTGCTCTATTATATACAATATATATATATATATATATATATATATATATATATATATATATATATATATATATATATATATCATGTTTATTGTATTTATTTGTATTTATATATGTGTCGATTATTATTATTTCCTTCAAATCTTTTCCAAAGTAACCGGGTTTTTTTTTCTGTATTACTATTTGTCATTGTACAACGACGTTAATCTTATTTTTACTTTCTGTTTTTGTGTACTTATTGTTATATTTATCAAATTTTTCCTTTTCTATACTCATTTGCTTTTATCAATTGATAGCTTAGATGTTAGGACTGCCAAAAGTAATATAAATTATTTTTGTTGTACGTTATAAATAATGACTTCATGATCTCAGAGGATTTTAGACTTAAATCTCGATGTATATTTTTCGTTTTCTTTCGGCAAACTTTTTTCCAAATTTATCAAAATGTCGATATTTGTTATTTATAAATGTTTATTTATAGTCATTTTTCAGGTTTCCAGTGTTTTTGCTTATCTAAAGTGTCTATATATATATATATATATATATATATATATATATATATATATATATATATATTTGTGTGTGTGTGCGCGTGTGTGTAGTGTGTGTGAATAAATATGGATTTAATATGGCTGTGCTGGTCTGAAATAGATTATACCTACATGAGGTAAATTTAGATTTTATATATATATATATATATATATATATATATATATATATATATATATATATATATATATATATAGTTTTAAGGTGTGCTATATTTATGGGATAAGGTGCTCAATATTATAGATAGAGCGATTGTAAATATAGATATAAAAGAGCACATTGAAATCTGACGATTGCGTTTAGCATGAAACATTCTGTTATCTCTGAGTGTTGACGTAATGTTCACTTATATATATATATATATATATATATATTCTGTAATTTTATTCATTCGTCACTTAACAGGAGTAGATAGGCTTGCCTATCGCCATGTTCACACTCCTCTTCTGTCTTTTGAACAGGAGTAGAAATGTCTCCCTTATTTCTTGTTTAGCAATGTGTTTCCCCTTTTTTCTAAAGTCCATTACAGCTCTATACTTACATCTCCCTCTGGAATTTTACTTACTAATTATTTTTTATTTGCAAGTGGAGTAGATAACTTCAACTATCGTCCGGTATGCAACCTTTCCCGGTCTTTTAAAATAGAATATTATTATTATCCCTTTATTCCGTTTACTTCTAATGTCTTTTCATTTTCAGTAGACTCTTACATCTTAGTGCATTGTTGTACCAGGGATTCCTATATATACATATATGTATATATGTGTGTGTATGTGTCTATTTATATGACCTATGATCATATATATATATATATATATATATATATATATATATATATATATATATATATATATATATATATATATATATATTTATTTAAAAAATGGACAAAGTCTTTTTATAGATAATTTATTTATTAAAGCTTTGTTTATGTTAAACAGTACTAAATTTTTTACCGGACATTCAGGCCGATACTTGTATTTAAAAAGAACGTTGTTTATAAAAATGTCTTTAATAAATATATATATATATACCGGATATATATATATATATATATATATAGAGGGGGGGAGGGGGTTGTTCTGAAGCAGACACTAATGAATACAGAAACTGACAATTTTGCAGAAAAATTGAAGGAGCAATTTCTCAGTACCAAGAATTATATGAAGAACAGAAAAATCCCATCCTGCAAACCGATGTAAGTTTTTCATAAAAAAAAAACTGATTAACAAACATTAATTCATAGCATTTTTATTGCATCTTCTTATATGTACGTATACTTTAAGTAAAATGTACGCAAATTAGATATTAACAATGAATGAAACTAAAATCTGACTACAAATAAAATCATTGTCGAACATCACATTCAATTAATGAATTTTCGATTAGTGTCTATCTTTTAGTGTACACATTAACTGTTCTCATCAAGGGATTACTGGATCAAAAAAAGTTTAATTTGGGGAAATCGAGTGTAATATTGGCATTTGTTAGTCTGTCTATATTTCTGAGATGAGGTATTATATACAGTATTTACATTAGTCGGATTATTGTCCTCATCTTTGTCGCCATATTTGTCACAACGTTTCGGCCGTTGTACGCTCCGGCCTTCTTCAGGTGGTTGGAATTTCGAACTGAACCCTTTATTTCGATCACTGGGGTAGACTGTTCTCGTTCCACGTGCGACAGTGGATAAAGGCGTTGGTTAGATCCAGTGACAGACCCAAAGAGTGTGAGTTCAATACCTGGTTAAGGCAGTGGAGAACTTTCAGAGGGAAAATTAGCAGGAGATAACTGATAACTGACATCCATCAAACATGGCACGTGGTTTTTTTTTTTTTTTTATTGCTGCTAATATTTTCTTTCAAAATAAACTATAGTTGGTAATATCTTTTTTTTTTCTTAAAATGTATTGCTGGTAATAATTTTTTTTTTACATAGTATTTCTGATATGTATTAAAAATATTTCTACACATTGATAGACTCCACTTTGGGTGTTAATTATTTGCCTATAGCTGGAACCTTAACAGGTGCTACCACCCCGGGTCAAGGTGGACCTGGCAATATCAGCAATTAAGAGGTGGTTCCACGCTCCTCAAAACCTCTTGAACAGAGGCCTTGCTGTTGGATGTATTTTACCGTCTTACCAAAGACGCGGATGTAGTTTATCCTCATAACCAGGACGGAAAGTTGTTAATTGCTACAAAAGACGAGAAATTGTGGACAAATGTAGCATCTTCGAAAAAAAGTTTTTAAATTTAAAGACGCTCATAAATATTCGTCAGGTAATCAGGTCTAGGAATTTAGGCCTTAAATATATGTAAAGCTAGCCACACTTATTCGAGGATACCCGTCTACTAGCGCGGCTAGCCAATCCCTATTGCAGACGCTTGCTCAGGCGCATTTGTGTTTTATTCAAAACTACAACTATGCTGATTGGGCCGTAGTTAGTGTTTCCGTATTATCTAGCATGATCAAGAATTCCGTCTTTCCAATTTCCCTCATTTTTCCAAAGGTGCCGTGAGCTGGGATCGACCCCTCCAGTCTTATAACCTTCCTGACAAATCGAACCCGATCGAGATTCGAACCGGGTTCTCATGTTTAGAATGCGAATATTCTTATATATAAGTGAACATTGAAATCAACACTCAGAGGCGACAGGCTGTTTCATTACGGACGCAAACATCAGGTATTTCCTCGGCTATTAATTATATATGGGTTTGTTATTTATTTATTTATTTGTTTGGGTTAATTTATTTTACTTGTTTTTTCATTTTCATTTTGCATTATTTATTCTTTTCATTTTTTTAATGTTTCATTAACGTAGTCAAAAATTTTAGAGTGGAGTTGCTTAGGTCACTTAATTAATAGTTTGTTTTGGTCTGGGAAGATAATTAAAGCTATTTATTCGTCCAATGTTTAGATTGCTTGCCGTAGTCTACTCTGTTATTTTGGCTGGGAGGGGACACTTTTTAATTTATTCATTTGGATTGATTATTTTTACTTGTTTATATTTTATTAGTTTAAACGGTTATTTTAGCGGGGGCGATTTGTTAATTTGTTTTTATTTACTTATTTATTTGGATTAATTATCATTAGTTTGTTTATTTATTTACTTATTTTTTTATTTTGTATTTTTAAATTGTATTTGGTTTTCGATTTTTGAATGATATATATATATATATATATATATATATATATATATATATATATATTCTTTACTTCAAGATATATACGCTCCAAATATCAGTCCCCCGATAAATGCATAAATAACAATTAATTTAAACTATTAAAAAAAAGCTTATTTATACTGAATAAATACTGCAGAAAATCGTGCAGTGTTTGATAAAAACAACGCCTCCGTATGAGAGAGAAATGGCGCATATCTCAGGCCTCAAATATAACCGAGAGAAAATGGCTTTCACCACGCAAGCCTCCTTCTTTAATAGCGTATCAATGCCAAGATGATGCCAATCTTCAGAACTCCAATAATGTCGACGATGACAACAAGAAGCTAAATAAGATATCCGACGTCCGACCTGGATCTTCCGGATCAAGGCCTCCGCTAGCAAACGAGATGTCTGCAAGATGGCAGACGATAATTAAGAGATCTCGAGTGGCGCCCCCTTGTGTCCAAACGCAACATTGCGAGAAGATCGTATCCAGGGAGTGACGATCTAATCAATTGAATTGTAGGTCCTAAGAGGAAAACATTGCGAGATCTTCGTCTGCAGGATATTGCTACGCCAGTCTGAAAATTTCACATGGAGTTAGTGACAGCCACTCATAGTGACATATACAGTCAGAGGATTTTCAGTAATTAATTATGAATTTTAATGAGGCTTGGAAAATGCTTATTGTTTCATAAATCCTATACACTTTATATTCATGACTCTAATGTCTTTTGTTTATTTGAAATAAACAATACAGAAAATATTCGTATCTGTTTGCGCACATTAATATACTTTCGTATACTAATATGTCTAATGGCTAATGATGAAATAAGCATTAAATGTCACACAAGTTATTATCTTTCAACATTCTTTCCTTCCTTGTCAATGCACTTAATTCAACGATAATCCTACATCGAATGATCCGCAGGTGGATAAATGTGAAGAAAGAAAGACACAGTAAGGAGAGGAAGAGAGCGATCTTGCTAGACTGATATGAAATAATAAAATAGATAGATAGATAATGTTGAAATAGGAGGGAGGGATAGATAGATAGATAGATAGATAGATATGTACAGACTGAGACAAATAGATAATGAACAGACTGAGATAGATAGATAGATAGATAGATATGAACAGACTGTGACAGACAGACAGGCAGATAGAGAGATAGAGAGATAGATAGATAGATAGATAGATAGATAGATAGATATGGACAGACTGAGATAGATAGATAGATAGATAGATAGATAGATAGATATGGACAGACTGAGACAGATAGATAGATAGATCGATCGATAGATAGATATGAACAGACTGAGATAGATAGATAGATAGATATGAACAGACTGAGAATAATAGATAGATAGATAGATATAAACAGACTGAGATAGATATGATCTTTCAAAATTGTCTCCTCCGTTGTCAATGCACTTCAATGGTGAAGGATAATCATACATAGGGCATAAGTTACAGATCAATATTCAGTTAATCATATGATGTAAGGCTATGGATTTATTGATCCACATGTGGATAAATATAAAGCGAAAGAACACAGTAGCGATTGATTGGTTGGTTTGTTTTTTACGGTCTATCAACCCTTTGCAGTTTATTTAAAGTCAGAAAATATTTTTAGAGTGAAAAAAGTTGGTGGGAGAGATAATGATTTAGTGATACACCTCTTACTATTTAACATATAGCTGATGGGGAGTAAAGGTGGTTTTATACTTTTCCCAAAGCCGAATGTTGGGTGCTACTCTCTGGATTTAATAATTAGAGGTTTAATACCTTCTTTTAATTTAGTTACCTCCTATTAAGCTAAGATGCTAAAACTCGACTGCCCATTTGTACATGGCATCCATTTTTTTAGAGAGGGAATAGCTAAAATTTTAAATGCATCAGCCCAAAAAATTCTCATTAGCCAGAAATATAGATTTGCTGAGTTTCTGTCTTAATATACCGTATTTTCCGGCTTACAAAACTCACATTTTTTCCTAAAAATACCCAGAAAAATAAGTGTACTTCTTCCAAGATGAATGTAAGGCAACGCCCAGGCTCAAATAACCATGGATGGTCACCTCATTGGCTTGACTGATATGGACGTGGATTTCTTTGTTGAGTTATTGCACTATAATGTTAGCTCTCTATCTAATGAAAACTTTTCTATGATGTAAACTCTGTTCTTAGTTGTTACAAGTATTTCTGAGACTTATAAACCTTCCTGGAGCCGAGCCACAAGCTTAAACATGCTCTGTTTATGAGCAGCGGCTGGAGGCTTTCTGCTCTTGACTAGTATGTCTTTGCCATACAGACAAAATCGGACGAGTGATTAATGTAAACAGTACGTGGTGCCAGTATCTGAGTGACGCATAGTGAATGTGTTTTTGTATGAGAATGACATTTTTTTTTTCTTAGAAATTTCTTTCAAGCCGCCGCAATTTGTAAGCCGGAAAATACGGTAAGTGCTTCTTTTCATCTACAAGAAGTATGAACAAATGTAAAAGTCAAAGGTCATGAGTGTTTTAGATAAAAAGTGGGTTATTGATAATTCCACGTATTCGCTTTATTTCTATAGACTCTTTACGTCTAGTAGTTTTAGGAGAAAGATGGCTGACATAGCGTTAAAACGTTTTCTACACTGTACTCGTTGCCAACTAAGGTTACAAAACCTAGTCATTCCTGATATCCCACCCCATAGTTTAGAGAGATAGATGGATCCTTACCTTTTCTCTCAAATGCAACGGAACAAAATTTGTTCTTATTCCGATCCGTGATTTATCTGACAATCCAGCGAGGACCACCATTGTGATAATAGCAGGCCTGTCACTGCGTCAACGTAAGTTGTGACCACAAGGTCGGTTTTTTAACTTGGGGACCTGATTGTTTCCACTCTGGTCGCTGGTCTAAGCTGGTCGTAGCTTGTCTAAGCTGGTTAAAATTTGTCTAAGCTGCTCTTAGCTTTTTTTAGTTTGTCTAAGGTGTTCAAAGTTGGTCTAAGCTGGTCTTAGCAGGTCATAGCTAGTCTAATCTGGTTTTAGCTGGTCTTAGGTTGTCTAAGCTGGTCAACATTTGTCTAAGATGATCGTAGCTGGTATAGCTTGTCTAAGCTTGTTTAGCAGGTCATAGCTTTAAGTTGGTCTTATCTGATATTAGTTTGTTTAAACTGGTCGAAGTTTTTCTAAGCTGGTCTTAGCTTGTCTTACCTAGTCAAAGTTTGTCTAAGCTGGTTTACTGGTCATGGCTTTAAGTAGGTCTTAGTTTATCTAAGCTGGTTGAAGTTTGTCTAAGCTGGTCTTATCTGGTTTTAGCATGTCTAAGCTGGTCAAAGTTTATCTCAGCTGGTTTATCTGATCATAACGTGTCTTAGCTGGTCTTAGCTAGATATAGCCAGTCATACCACCGCTGCGTAACTGATGTCTAAATTAGGCAAGAATGAAAATAACGCTGACATCTCATTTTAACAGATACACAGGGGGCGATGGATAAACTGTCGTCTAAGTGACGCAAAAATGGAAATAACGCTGACATCTCATTTTAACAGATGTATTTACAAAAATTACACGAAAAATATCTTGAAATACTAAAGAGTAAATCTATTCAATACAATCGCCATTGGTTTCAACAAAAGCATCCAGACAACTTCGGAATTTCCTGTAACTCTTCTAGACGGCCTCCTTCTTTGCTGCCATTTTGTGTTACAAGGAGTTTTCTTGGTCTTTCGCCCAGCTGCACCCAACATATAATAATCAAATGTGTTGCAGTCTGGGGAGTTTGGTGGCCAGATGTAAGTGGTGATGTGATCGGAGAAATTGTCTCACAGCCATGACTGGGTTGTGTGACATGGTACAGAGTCCTGTAGCCAAACATAGGGTCTTTCAACAGCCACCCTCTTGACATAGGGTAGCACTACCTTCTCAAGGCACTTGATGTAGGCATGCGTGTTGTGTCTGAGGCTCTCAACAAACATTTGAGACTTCGTATCTTATCAGGACGATCTGAGTGAGTTTTCCGAGCTGCCGTACCTTCGTAATCACTATTGGATCTATCCAAATATTACCGAATCCTTTGCACTGTTCTCAGATTACAGCCTGAAATTTTCGTATATTGGAACTTTCGGTGCGAATGCCAAGCAGTACAGTTTCAAAAGTTTTGGCGGAATGATTTGCGTAAAAGTGATCTTTTTCTCACTGACGTTGCCCACCTGTCTCTCTACTACATTGCACCGTCAGCAAAATCAAAAACAAACAATGCGCATACGCAAAATTAAAAATATAAAATGGCAACATTTTACCTATCGAACCCTGTATGTTCAAGAGATTTTAAGAGTTATTTCGGCGCTACATCCATGGAATTCTCAGTATCCTTCTGTGGGGCCACATTTCTCATGCCTCTAGTTTCGTCTTCATCTGTGAGGCGATTGTCTACCATTACTTTATTGATAACTCGCCGGTCTTTCGCAAGCTCTAGGGGTGCATTCGCTTTGCTCCTGCAATAGTAAGCGCGAGGCGCTCAATCAGTTGTCTCATGCATTTCGACAAATTGCATATGCTTCTCCCATGCAATAGCGAGCGCGGTACGCTCAACCGTACGCACCTCGGTTCGTGTACACTGGTCGCCATTTCTCGACTTTTCTCGTCCACCATGACATCCTTCTTATTAAGTACCCAATCACAATCCATCCGTCCAAATGTAGTGGAAAGATATCGCATATTCAATAATATAGGTTTTACTTAATAAGCTCTTATGTTTCTCTTCAAATGTTGAATGTATAACTAATTCTATTTTCCCATCTTTACACTATATTAGATTTATCTTATAAATTGTCTCCTATTCTGTGACCCATGAAATAAAAATAATTGTTTGTACGGAAAATAAGGATCTACATACATCAAATCGTCTTTAAATTGAGCGGCAACAGAAGAATTATCGTTAAACTTTTAAAAGGTAAGCTTAAACATTGATTCCGTACTTAAATGCAGTGATCAATTTTGAGTTCTTCTGTAGTTTATTGATGCCTATCACATCTACTCCTCCCTAGCTATTGTGATGATGACCAAACCAAGAGTCCTCCACAAGAGCTAGCTTAAATGCCGCCCGTTAGGGAAATAAGAGTTACTCCCCTTGGATCATGAAAGCAAGGATAATGGCTAGTATGATGTATCTCTGTCTATAAAAGACAGGATGTGTGTGTGTGTGTGTGTGCGTGTGTGCGTAACGAATGCACGGCCGCAATTTTCGACGGATTTACACCAAAATTTACATGCACATACTCCAAGTTAGTGGAAGGCCAAGACCGATTTGCATTTCCCAACTCCCATCGATAGTAGAAATAATCGATTTTTTCATGCTTCTACGGCAGTTTTCATGTAGTTTGCGGCCATTTTGTACTGGCCAGAGTGAGAGTCTATAGCTGGCTGCTACGAATAGGCAGGAAGATTCTATTGGCCAGCGTGACAGCCAACAACTGACTGACACGAATGTTAAATCGATAGCTGCATTCATCACAAGTGGGAAACATTTAAATCTGCATGGCACTTTACTCCAATTGGCTCATTCGCTTGCTTAAACTCAACGTTGATTCTGATTCCGCAGAACTGGGTTGGGTGTGAAAAATTATTTGTTGTTAACATTCTTTTTTCATTCGGTTTTTCCAGTTACGAGTCCTTTTTTAAAGCTGATCGTTTTGTGTTCATTTTGTTTAGTTCTTTTTTCGTAAGAGATTTAATATTTAGTACAGAGCTTAGAAAAAATTCGCAGTGTGAGATAGGCAAGAAGTAAGACGTGTAGCAACATCAGCACGGCAAAGGGCACTCCTTTAAAGGCAAGGAAGGGCAAAAATATTTTAAGTCAAGTGGTACCGATTGCTGTATGAGTCGTACGATTTTCGAATCAAGCACGAGCAACGCCGGACCATGCTGCTAGTTAATAATAATAATAATAATAATGATGAGGTCTATGTTGGAGAAAAACTTGTAGCTTTATGTTCATTGAAATCTACACGATACAACTCTCACCAAAAACTCAAAGAGTGCAGAAAGAAATCTTGAAGTAAGAAGAAAAAATTCGCAGTGTGAGTGTGGGCAAAAATATTTTAAGTCAAGTGATAGAGATTGCTGTATGAGCCGTACGATTTTTGAATCAAGCACGGGCAACGCCGGGCCATGCAGCAAGTTAATATATATTTTTAACCTCGCCTAATTTGGCCACCTTGAATCTGAGCTCATCGAAAATCGTTCCCTGCGCCTAATCTTTCTAGTGCTTTTGAATGAGCTGTGAATCATTGTAATCGGACCAGTGGGAACGAAGGAGTTTCTTGGATACACATACACACGAACAGACTGTACTTTTTATATAAGATAATTCAGGTATCTGTGTTTTGTTTTTAACAAAATTTTCTTTATTTGTAGAACTTTAAACCATTTTCGCTATTCCAATGCCCCTGTTGATTTCGGTGTTGCATTTTTCAGCCTTAGTTAAAACGCTTCTAAAATAATTAAAATATTCGCTACTTTGCTTTTTCCCTGTTTCCACCAGTATATTCTATGAGCGCCAAATATTCTTTACCCACTATCCACATTACGTGCCCTGGAATTATAAACTGCTTCTCTCTGAGTTCAATTATAAGTGAACTTTCGTTTCCATTTCCTTTAAAATTCCTTTGGTTCTTACATGTTTGGACCACGGTATTCAAAGAATCTTTCTGTAGAACCAAATTTCTGTTTCCTCAGTTCTTCATCTGTAATGAGATTGTCCAGCCCTAGATGCCATACAGGAGGACCTATATGGCATAAAAGACCAGGAAACTTTAATTTTTATTTATTTCTAAAGAAATGCTGTTTCTTAATAACAATTCGAAGGCTGCTTTCTCTATTCCAATGCGATGTCCAAAACGGAAATTCTGCATAATGAAATTCTTAAACGGTTAAATTCTTCGAAAATCGGTAAATAATATTTCCACTTGTCATTCATTTGATCTGATATTTAAAAATTTATATATCATATTCTCCCAAAGTTAAATTCTTAGGAGATACCATGTCCTTATTAATTTTTAAAACATTTTATTTTATTTCTGTTGAATATCTATACCTAGTATTGTCAGATGTACAGCAATTCCCCATGAATAATACTCATTTTTCTAAAAACTTACAAAAATAGGGGTGCGTATTATACAAAGCTACACATTTATTTTCATTTTCTCCTAATATATTCTTTTATATAAGGTAACTTTGAAAATAATTTGACCAATATCTTTTGAGCATTTTCGGCTTTTATTAGATAGATTTTATGAACAAACGGAGATAGAGAACAAACTAATATAGATAGATAGATAGATAGAAACATGATGAGGTAAATATATACATACATACATACATACATAGATACATATATAGCTAGACAATAAAAAAAAACTTAGAGTAAATTCAGATAGATATGACTAACATCAGATAGATAGATAGATAGATAGATAGAAAAATACATGAATATAACAGGGAACATAGATATATAGATAGATAGATAGATATATATGAACAAATGGGCATAGATAGATAGATAGATAGATAGAAAAAATACATAGATATTAGATATAAACAAACAGGCATAGATAGATAGATAGATAGATAGAATAAAACATAGATAATTAATGAACAAACAGGCATAGATAGATAGATAGAATAAACGTACATAGATATATTGAGGTATGAACAAGATAGATAGATATAGATAGATACTGAATAAACGTACATAGATATATTGACAGATATGAACAAACAGGCATAGATAGATAGATAGATAGATAGATAGATACTGAATAAACGTACATAGATATATTGACAGATATGAACAAACAGGCATAGATAGATAGATAGATAGATAGATACTGAATAAACGTACATAGATATATTGACAGGTATGAACAAATGGGCATAGATAGATAGATAGATACTGAATAAATACATAGATAGATAGAACAAATGGGATAGATAGATAGATACTGAATAAACGTACATAGATTTATTGACAGGTATGAACAAATGGGCATAGATAGATAGATAGATACTGAATAAACGTACATAGATATATTGACAGGTATGAACAAATGGGCATAGATAGATAGATAGATAGATAGATACTGAATAAACGTACATAGATATATTGACAGATATGAACAAACAGGCATAGATAGATAGATAGATAGATAGATAGATAGATAGATAGATAGATAGATACTGAATAAACGTACATAGATATATTGACAGTTATGAACAAATGGGCATAGATAGATAGATAGATAGATACTGAATAAACGTACATAGATAATTGACATATAAATAGGCATAGATAGAGGATTTATATGTAAAAACAAAAACAAAACAAACTAATATATACTGAGATAGACAGATGGAGAGATAGATA